CCCCCCCCGGGGGGGGAGAGACAGATAGGTCCTGTCCCTGGGCCGGTCTTTCCAAAGCGATCTTGCAGGCTGGCGGGTGTTTTTTTTGCCGGCGCCCCTTGCGAGGACGCCCTTCCCAAGCCCTACAACACCCTTACCCCCCCCCCCCTCCTCCCTGGACTCTCCCTTTGCTCATCTTTTTTACTGCTTCCCCCCTCTCCGCTTCCCCTCTTTCTCCCTTTCCGTACGCGCCCTCTTCCTCGCCTTTACATTCACTCGCCCGCATCATCCCTCCCGCAAGAGTGCGCGCGCGCACGTGTGCGCACTCGACTCCCGGCCATCATCTAGCCCACTGCTCACACGACATCCCCACTCCCCTCCCCCCACCCTTCTCCCCCGCGCCCCACCCTCCTGCTGAACCCGCCCGGCCTCTTCCTCTTGGTCTCCCCCTCCAGCCTCACGCACGCACGACGATGGCCACCGCTGCCAACACGGGTGCCCCGGGTACCGGCCCGAATCAGGCCCACGGTAGCCCAGGCATGGCGCCAGCTCGCCCGGCTGCTGGAGTTCAGCCGCAACAGCAGCAACAACAACAACAACAGCAACAACATGGTGCCCCCCCACGGCGCACCAGCTCCGAAGTCGTACGTCCTCCGGCCTTCGGGCATCGGGGCCCTCTGGCGTGGCTCGGTCTCACACTTGACCTCCCTCTGCCCCGGCACACCCTCACACTCTCTCTCTCTCTCTCGCGCACACACACACACGCACGCACACGCACACGCCCCCAGGAGAACCGCATTGCCGTGCTTGAGCACAACCTCAAGCTCCTCTACTCTTGTCATCTTAAGACCAAGCGCGACCTCGAGGAGTCTCAGGAAATCATCGGACGGATGACGCAAATGGGCCAGACGATGGCCGCCGGGGCCGGGGCATACCCCGGATCGGCCGCCGGTGGCGTCGCCCCCCCGGGTGGGCTCTTCTCCAACACGGCCTCCGGGACCGGGGGCGAGTCCTTCCTGTCCAGCGGCCCTGCCTTCCCGGGCATGGGCCAGCATCATCACCACCAGGCCGGCGACTCGGCGGACAACAGCCACCAGGGCCCCTTCGATGAGCGCCAGGATGACGGCTGGTCCATGCTGGACCCGAACATCGATGGTGAGGCGTCGGTGTACGCCGGACTCGGGGGCCCCGTCGGGGCCGGGCTGCACCATACCCCCGGGGCCGTGCCCCTGGATGCCGATCGCCTGGCGGCCCTGCGTGCGGCCGAGGGCGCCGCCGCCGATCACAACAACTTTGCCTCGGTTTTGGAGGCCGCCGTGCGCAAGGCCGCCGATATGGAGGCCAAGTACCAGGAGTCTCAGGAACAGGCCCAGGCCCTGCGCGACCGCTTGACTCAGAATCTCTCGCGGCTGGACGAACTGCAGGAGCAGCTGGACCTGAGCAGCGCCGCGTGCGACACCCTGCGCAAGGCGCGCGAGGATGGCCAGCGTGCCTTGGAACAGGCGACGGCCGAGGCAGCCATCGGCATGGAGCAGCTTCGCGCCCAATTGGCCGCGGCTCAGGCGGAACTCGAGGCGGAGGTGGCCCGTGCCGCCGACCTGAGCACCAAGCTGGCCGCCACCGCCCGCGAGCAGAACGACCTGCTGGAGCAGGTGGACACCCTGCGGGCGGCCCTCCAAAAGACCGCCGGCCAGCTGGAGGCCGCTCAGGCCGAGCTGGTCACCAACAAGGCGTCTCTGTTGGAGGCGGAAACCGCCACCGTCGCGGCCAATCGCCGCGCCACCATGGCGGCGGCCGATCGGCGGGCGGCATTTGATTTGGCCGCCTCGGTGAGTGCCTCCCTGGCCCGGCTGGCCGAGACGCTGAGCTCGCCGAATGGCGGGGGCATCTCCTTCTCCATCCCGGCTGGCTGGACCGATGCCCAGCAGCAGCTGACCCTGGTGGTGGAGCATCTCAAGCAGAGGGCCCTTGCGTCGGGCGATGGCCCGGGGGTGGATCCCGGCCCGGGCCCGGCGGCCACGCACGAGGAAGACGCCTCTGCCCGGACGCCGGGGGCCGAGTCGACCGGCGACCTGGCCCTCACAAGGGACATGGTCACTCGATGCATGGGGCACCTGCTGGAGCTGGGCTTGGGTCTGGTCTCGGCGCGGGATCAGGCCGTCGCCGAGCAGGCGTCCAAGCTCCAGGAGGCCGAGGCGGCGCTGGAAACCGCCCGCCGCCAGCTCGCCGACCTGTCGGATGAATTGTCCACCCACGAGATGGCCGCGCTGGAGGCCGGGGCCCAGGCCGGCGAAGCGGGGCAGGCTTTGGCCGCGGCGTCGGCCTCCTTGGAGAAGCTGACTCGCGAATTGGAAGCCACCCACGAGCATTTGACCTCGGCCCTTGAAAAGATCGACCACCTGACGGCACAGCAGGCTGCGGCCGAGGCCGACGCCGAGGCGGCCCGTGCGGAGGCTCGTGCCTCGGATGAGGCGGCTCGCGGCGCGGCTGCCGATGCTGCTGCCTGTCGGGCCAAGGAGGCTCGTGCTCGTGACGAGTTGGCTCGCGCCGAGGCGGCCCTCTCTCGGGCCGAGGCCCAGACGAAGAAGGCTCTCGCCGAGGCGGACAAGCTCCGGACCAAGGCCCAGCATGCGGAGGCCAGCGCCAAGGCCGCCCAGGAGCAGCTGGCCGCGGCTCAGGACCAGGCCCGGCAGGCGCGCCTCGAGGCATGCGATGCGGTGAATGACGCCACCGCCGCCCGGGAGGAGGCCGCAAAGGCCACAGCCCGTGCGGCGACCATCGCCGAGGAGGCCGAGGCCGATCGCGAGGAGGCCGGCCGTTTGCGGGCCGCCGCGGCACGGGCCGATGCCGAGGCGCGCGCCGCCGTGGCCGAAGCCGCCGAAGCCACCGCCGAGGCGGACAAGCAGCGGGCCGCCGCCGAGGCGGCCGTCGCCGCCGCCACCAAGCATCAAGCCGCTGCGGCCAAATTCAAGCAAGAGGCCGAGGCGGCCCGCAAGGCGGCCAGCCTGGAGCAGGAGGCCACCCGTGTGCGGGTGGCCGAGCTGGAGGCCGAACTGGCCGCCGCTCGGTCCCAGGTCCAAGCCACTCGCGACTCCCTGGAGACCAAGCACTACTCTCAGATGGATCTCCTGAAGCGCCAGCAGCAGAGCCACAAGGAGGCGATGGCCTCCCTGGAGCGGAACTTTGCCCAGCGCGAGGCGGCCCTCCATGCCAAGCACGAGAAGGCCCTGGAGCAGGAGCATGCCCTCTTTGCCCAGCAGATGGCGGACAAGGAGCACCAGCACCAGCAGGAGGTTCACGACCTGCTGCGGAGCTATGAGGCGGCTCTCAATCGCCCGGCCAACCCGGCGGATGCCATCAACATGACGGACTGGGCGCTGGCCGATGGCGGCGACCAGGACCTGCCCGACCCCGGCCCGGCGGCCGGTGGTGGCCCCGGCGCCGGCAGCCCGACCGGCGAGTCGGCTCCTGCGGGTGGCGACGCTCGGCCGCTCTCGCCGCCTCCCCCCCTGTCAGCCGACGAGGGGGCCTTTGCCGATGCGCAGTCTGGCCCGGGGGCCGGGGCAGCGGCCGTCGTCCCTCCTGCTGGCGGTGACGGCGGCGGGGCACCGGCCCCCGGGGCCCAGCAGCCCCCGATGGACCTGCACTTCCCGGACTTCCACAACCTCCGAGCCATGTTCATGTATGACATGACCCAGCCGGCTGAGGGCCAATTGGCCACGGTGAACTCCCTCCTGGAGGATGGCCTGGAGTCGCTGCGGGAGTGCCTGCGCCAGGCGGCCGATGCATCCGGCGCCGGGGCCGATGCCATGGCCTCCTCCCTCCAGCAGCTGTCCCTCCAGGAACTGGAGGCCCATCCGGCGGTGGATCACATCCTGGAACACGCGACCCCGGAGCAGCGTCTGCACCTGCACAACATCCTGACCCTGCTGCATGCGGGCCTGGCCTTCCGCGACCAGAGCATCTTCCATCTGGCTTCTCTTGGAGAGCAACAGCTTCACAGCGCCCTCGACCGGCAGCCGGAGCTGTTGGCTCAGCTGCAGAAGCGCCTGCGGGGGAGCATGGTTCTGGTGCGTGACGGGCTTTCCTGCTGCCCTCCTTTCCCGCTCTCCATTTGCACTGGCCTTTCTTGCTCCTCCATGTGCGCGCGCGCGCGCCTCTCATATGCTGCACGTCCAAATCGCTCTGACCCTGGGAATCACATTGGTGCTCCTGCCGCCTCCTGCCATCCCCCCCCCCCCGTGCACTGCGTCGTCCTCCCCTGTGGCCATTCGCAGAATCAGCCCCTTTTGGCGGATGCCCCCCCGTGCGTGCTTCATCCGGCTCTTGGTTTCCTTGCTCCCTCTTTATCTGTGTCTCTCTGCCTCTTGCCCGCTCCTTTTTATTGTGTGTGTGTCTCCCATTTTCTTTGCCTTCTCTAACCCCTTTACGCGCGGGCCTTTTTCATCACGATCTGCCTCGCTGCCCCGTGTGCCTCCCCGGATGTTCCTCCGCCACCACAGACCCCAGGTTGGATCCCAGTGCATGTTCATCCGCGTGGCGGACCCCCCAAACTCCGCCAACTCCGAGTGGCGCCTGATGTCCATCCCCTCGATGCAGAAGAAGACCCGCTTCATCCTGTCGGACCTTTCCCTGCGCCATATCACCAAGAACATGTGCGTGTATGCACGGCGCTGCGCGCATCGCGCGCAGCCGTGCCTGGCTGGCTGAGCACACTTTGTGCCACACCCGTACCTCCGCTGCTTCTCTCTTGCCTCGCACACGTTCCCCCCCCCCTTCCCGGGCCGGGCTACATATTGGCCTGCGCCTTGTTTGACTGTCCCCATCCTGCCCTGTTCCGCTGACCGTAGAAGCTCCCTCCCTGCCCCCCTGCCTCCCTCTTGTCCCTCACCAATGGCACTACTCCAGCTTCAACCTCGATGGTCTGCCGACTGTCGAACGTGCTCGGGCTGCCACCTCCTCGCTGATCTTCATCCAGTGCACCATCGAGCACCTCACGCCTGGCCCATCGGAGAATGTGCGTCCCTCTCTTTCCCCCCCCCCCCCTCCCAACCCTTCTGTCACAGCAAGAGCGCGAGCAGTCATCGCGCCCACCTCCACGAGGACACTTCCGCGGCGCGCCAGCCCTCTGTCCCCACTGGCACTTAGCATGCCCTCTCTCTCTCTCTCTCTTTGCCGGATCCGAATGCCCTCGAATGTGGTGTCTGACACGTGCCTTCCCCTGCCCTTCCTCGCCGACCTTCTTCCGCCTGGACGGCGCGCCCACACGTCCATGCAGGAGTGGATTGTGGACATCGATCCTTTGATTGCCTTCTGAGTCGCAACAGCCACCGTACGGTGTGTCTATGCACTCACCTGAGGGGGGCATGCTTTGATGTAGCGCGCATGCACGCCCATTTTCACTCCCTCCCACCTCTCAGCCAGCTAGCCAGCCAGCCCGTATTCTGTATTTTAGTATAAAAGGCGACAGTGCCGCGGACAAGCCACAGGAACACATATGGACATGTGTCTCCGCTTCGTGTCCCCCCCCCTGTCCCTCTCTTTCCATCCCTCTCTCTCTCTCTCCCTCCCCTCCCCTGTCCTCCATGGATAACCCCCCGTCCTTGACCTGAGAACTACGCGCTAATGCCCTCCTTTTTTCATATATATACACACACGCGCGCGCGCGCGCGCCCGCTCGGGAGGAGAGAGGCGAAACTTCCCCTCCTTGCCTTTTCCTGCCCGCCCTCCCACATCTACATGAGAATAAAGATATGTGTGTGATCTTCGCTGGCCTTTGCGCCTTTTTCATGACCACAGCCCTTGAGCACCGGGTGGGGCGCGGGGGAGGGGGGGGGGGGGGGGGGGGGCGGGGGGGAGGGAGGGGGGCGGGGGGGGCGCGGATCTGATCGGAAGAATGGTGTCGGCTGTTTCCCC